AAATGCCCATGAACATCGACCGCGACGAGGATCCGGCTACCGATGTTGATGCAGCCCCCACCGTCAATCTCCCTCCGCGTTTCATCTTTGTGAAGCATCACCCGCATGTGAACAAGCCCAACGAAATCATCCCTATAGATGGCTCTCCATCCCCAGCAGCCCCGCTCTTGGAGAAAGATCCGCACCCAGCACCACTGCCTGATGCGCGTCCTTGGGCACCCTTCAAAACATATTCAGACTACAAGTTCGCTTCGAGCCGTGTCCGAAGGCGCGCTCCCAATGCTGAAATCGATGAAGATCTCGATGACCTCCATGGCCACGCGTTCTCCAGTGACTGTTTCATCACATTCCACAACCACCGAGAGATGGAGAAGTCCTTGGCGGCGGCATGCAAAAGCAATATTTCAGTAAGCAGTTCCTGACCCTTCGTATCTGCTTTCAAATTAAGATAAATGTGTGGCTCAGTCTCACCGCAAGATTTTGAAAATCGACTTTGAGGGAACAGAGTTCAGTGGGACCTATGAAGTCGAAGTTGAATTCCGGGATCCGTGGCAGATAATGAAGCAGTGCGTTACCGATGAAACTCTTGCGTCTGTCAGCACCTGGTTCTCTCAAGAGAAATATTTGTGCTTGAACGGGAAAGTGGAATTTTCCAATCGGCTCTATGATGAGCCATGGACTGGGCGTAACTGGCAACGTGTCAATGTGCGTTTTGATATATTGCTGCACCCATATTTTGCTTAACGACACCAACAGGATTCCCTCCCCGCCGACGACCTATATGCATCATGTTACTTGGCCCTTCATGTCTGGCTCAACAAGGGTCTTGTCTCCACGAAGGTCAAGATGCACCCTATTCTATTCCGCATGTGCTGGATTCATTCAACGACCCGTAACGGCTCAGGCAATGGCGGATCGGTATTAGCGGGATTCGTTAAGATGGTAAGTTCACTTTATTTATTAATTATTGCGGTCCCCGAATCAATACTTTTTAGCCCCATAGCCTGCGTCAAATCGACTCGAATACATTGACTGGTGCAGCGAGGTCAGAATTTGACCGACTAAAGTGAATGATCTATCACAGTGTTTGCCATCTTGTCATGGCATCGCTCGAGCAGCGGTCGCACAACGGCAAGGCACTCCGATTCGGTGATGGTGTCACTCACATCGCGTATCCTGGAGTTCTGATTGAATCCATGAATTTTGAGGAGCTCATGGCGTGGCTTGCCATTCGCAATTCAAGGTCGCTCCATCCTTGCCCTCAATGTCTCGTCCACAAAGATGATCTTCCACGGTTGACATGAGCATTCAAGGAACGTACCACCAAATCCATGTCCCTTGCTCTTGCCAGTGCACCTGCTGGAAAGACAGAACGCAATGAGCATCTCAAGAAATATGGCCTTCATGATTTCGAGGTGAGTGATTATATTTTTGATGCTGCTTTCGACTCACTTGTTTCTCGAGCATTTCCTATGGAATTTCAATAACTCGGATCCATACAAAGCGACCGGCTATGACTGCTTACATTTCTTCAACAGTGGCATTTGGGGTTGCCACATGTGGCCCCTCATCAAGGGGCACCTCCAGCGCAGCGGACTCGCCTCAGAATTCAATGCAAAGTATGCCTGTTATTTCTTTCATCTGGCTGCCGTTACCCACTTTCTGTCATTCTGTTCTGAAAGCATGGCCAATTTCCCTCGTTGGCGCGATCTCAAGCACCTATCGTCGCCAACCACCATCGACTATTCAGAGGGTCAAACCTTCCTCGATATTCTCAAGGTATTTGCTGGCGTCCGACTCAAGTCTGATCCAGAACTAACTATCTTTGTTCAAGTGCACCCTGCCCTGCATCGTGCAACTCCTCCCGCAAAATTCATGTCTTGTTCGGGCAATCCGCATCATGGTAAAAATTTGCATTATGCTGGGTCTCGAAGTTCTGGTAGAAACCCACATGGATCTTCTTCGAAAGTATATTTCGGAATACGAGAAGATCTGCAAGGTACGTGAACTTTTGCTCTCAAAATGCCGATCCTCGGGACTCATATGTCTCCAGGACATCTCACAAACCCACGACAAGTCATTTAACTTCCTCAAACAGCACTTCCTGTCGCACGCGATCGACTGCTTCAAAGACAAAGGCACCAGTTGGAATCAGAATACTCGTGTTGGTGAAGGTTTCCAACAGGAGATATCTGTGCAGTACGAAAAAACGAATGGCAAGGACGCTGAGCATCAGGTATGTTGCTTTACTCACTGTCATGTTTCCTTCACTCAGCGTCATGCATTCAATAGATGTCGGTCATGGACGAAAACGAGGAAACTATGGCACGGCTCGATATGAAGGTGAATGAGTGGCGGAAGAGCCAGGAAGAGGATGAGACAGACCCAGTTCTACCATCCCAAACTACCACAGCTCATTGGAAAATTGGCTCTGCTGATGCTCGGATGACCAGCACTCGCATCGAAACAGTTAATCGAAGCAACACGTTGTACTGTGACCTCAACACACACCTGAGGGAATATCTCGTGGAGCACCATCCCAACCACCCAGTTTGCTATGATGAAGATATTCAGGTCAGTTTTTGTTCTGGATTCGGTCGAGTATTCAAAGTTGATGAAATTTGGTCTCGTCCTCATACAAGTCGAGCCATGTAAAGTGCTCTACGTTGAGTTCCAATCAAAAGTTGATTGGAATAGCAGGAGAGACATCTTACGCTGCATGTCAGCGTCGGCTCGGGTCGACTTGACCAGAAAGGACACGGGAAACCATTCGGGGATATTGGGCACAACTAAGTAGCTGATACGGTTGTCGAGGATTATGACGAGCCGGATAGCTTCCTTGTTGGGTCAAGACGGATTAATCCGAGGGATGAGCGAGGGAAATCAGTGAGAGCCAACGACAGAGGGGTTCCCATAGAGGAAGGTAGCGGGTAGTCGTATAATCCAGTGTAGTATGAGCGACCGGTGAGAATCCAGAGCGTTGGGATAACCCGAGGGAACAACGAGGTCAAGCCAAGGTAAGCCTGAGTATAGATGAGGTAGAATCTACTGTACAAGGAGATTCTACTGCTACTTATATACTATTTGGTGGTCAGGAGAGTATCTAGGTGATAAATGTGACAATGAGGAGAATCAAGGGACGCAGGGGCGTAGTGACGCACCAAGAACATAGAGGGGTAGTTGCGACGCGTAGGGGCGGGTCGGAACTGCCGTGTCTCGATCGGGTTTGTGATAGTTGATGGGGTGTCACGTGGCCGAGTTACCCGCGGGTTAATCCGGGCAGCTGAACCGAATCATGACACTGCAACCCCATGTTCCATGGACGCCGCCGCTACGACTCTATCATCTACAAAGCTCACAGCGATGATCTTGCCATGGGTCAACTCAAATTGGTTTTTTGTTGCCATCTCCCACGCAAGGTTACTCTTGATTTGGCAATGGTATGCCCATATCACAAGTCGACCTGGACTGCAAGGACCCGCACTGACTGCCCCATGCGCGAATGGAGTCCTGGCTCAATCTTCATTGCGCTGGAGCATGTTGCCTGGGGAGCACTACTTTGTCCCATCTTCGGAGCACGCCGTGAGGTATTCTACGTGATAGATTGCGTCGATGAAGACATGTTTTTGCGCGTAAATAATATTGATTAAATATATTCTTGCAACCTGTTCAAAATAGTGTAAATTCAGGTTCTATTGACATAGGTAATCGTTGATATGCGGTTTTGAGCCTCAACAGTGGTTGTGAGCAACCGAAAGCCCTTATATGTCCGTATGTACCTTGAGCCCCATATAATGCCTTGAGATGGCTTATAACCTTCCCGCCACCGGTTTATAATCCACTACAATCCACTATAAGCCGGTAAGCAAGCTCAAGCCGTTACAACCCAAGTGCTGTTTTTCCTACAAAGTCCCTTCAACGCTCCTTGCATCAAGTATTTGCCGAAAGTCTACCAAAATTGCCAGAATAAATCTAGGGAAAGTCCAGAGGGCACTAGAGTGCATTCAACACGCATTTATCATTGCACACCCATATCAAAAACAATTTTTAACTTCGGGAACAGGCATTAGGCCTGGTGCTGGCATTATTTCGGCGACAAAGTTATAAATAGATGAGGCTTGTTAAATAGAAAATTGATCCAACAACCCCGGCTTGTTTTTAACAAGGTGGTTGTTAAATAAATTAATCCCTACTACCGGATTACGTGGGAACAATCAAAGAATAGCTCCCTTTCGTAGACATGTATGCACATTCTGAGTCGACAGATCTGTGAATAAATGTGTTCTGAACTTGTAATTATCAGGGTCCGGGACACTGCTCTGGCTATTATTTTTCGATCAAAACGGTGAAATCAGTGAAAATGCTAGAAACGGATCATGACTTCAGGATGAAACAAGATCAAGGAGGCATCTATTCGGGAGCCAACTACATTGACATGTACCTGGTTGCCAGACTTAAATCTACGTGCTCTGAGACAATAGAGCCCGAACTCAGGCAATACGCATTTGACGTGTGATGTCACATGTGACTTTACGCATTGAACTCCCTCTCCGGTGCTCTGAGCACATCTTTGGGTGTCAGTTTGCATCGGGTGCAGTTATATAGTTGGCTAAAAACAAAAATGATATTAAATATATGAAGCAGATGAGTAATAAGGAAAAAGGGGAAACAAAGGAGTTAAAAAGAAATGCAGATGAGAGGAGTCGAACTGGCGACCTCCAGATTTCGTTGGGGGGGTACTGTCACTAATATATCACAAAATTGTAGTGAAAGTTTTTAAAAAGCCTTCAACACAGCCACTATTTTACCAGGCACGAAAAATGGAACAAGGATTGAGAGAGGTCGTGAAATCCTCATATCGGTTTGTTAAATGGACGATCACTTACTCACATAAGTACTCGTAACTGAAATCAACTCAAATCTGAGTCGGACTGACTTTACTGAACTAAGCTCAAGTCCCGGCCAACAGGAAGAAAAAAAAAGTCGAACGTGAGAACGAATGACCTGACCCGGGTTCGAACCGGGGTCTCCTGCTTAGATTCATTTCTGACAGGCATAACTTGAGCAGATGCACTAACCACTGTGCCACCAGGTCACTCCTTAAATTTGGAGTAGCAGGGCTTTATTGGTCTTCTGATATTAGTAATAATTGGAAACACTTGAAATGTCTTATAAAATTATCGACTCAAATCAAATCTTACCTGCTCGAATCCCAACCCAACTCAATTAGAAAAATCCCCACTCGAAAAAAATCCAAGTCGCTCCAAAGAAAAAAAAGAATGAGACAGCAAGAAGAAACACAAACTCAGAGGAATGACCTGACCCGGGTTCGAACCGAGGTCTCCTGCTTAAAATTCTTCCCAGAATAACCTCAGCAGATGCACACCAGGTCGTCCTTCTTTTCTACCAGCATTGGCTTTATGAGCTTGTTCTGACACGGTGAGATGGAGGAATAATAAAATCAACTGTCGACCGAGCTAGCCTCAAGCTCGAACTTAACTCTCGTTGATTTAAACTTGAATCCCCAACTCAACTCGACGTAAAACAGATCCAAGTAGCACAACGCGCTCCAAAAGACAAGTAGAAGAAAAAAATTAAATAGAAAAAACATCTCCGCAAGAAGTAGCGACCCAGCCCGGATTCGAACCGAGGCCTTCTACGCAAAGGCCTTCCAAAGATATGCATTTTCAGCAGACGCACTAACCACTGTGCTACCAGGTCGTTACTTCCCTTGCGCTGAGCGGTTATATATGGGCCTCTTCTAAACGACGAAATATCAAGCCACTTTGGAATTGAAAGAAACATGTTTTGACGGGGTCGAAATCAATTATCGATTCAACCGAGACGACTCACAACCCTCGGCAACTCACTCGCTCCTCAAGAGGTATCGTACCCCACCGCACAAAAACAACACAGAAATTGTATCGAGACAACAAAGCGTATGTACACCTCCCCGCTCCATCTCCTTTCCAACTACAACAATAACACACATATGCCGCAGCGATGACCACCACTCGCTCGCACCAGCACCCCCACCCTGCGCTTGCACGCATCACTCGCATCAATACCCTCTACCCGTACGCATGCCCACGATCCAGCACACCGCAGGGATACCGCCATCTTTGAACACCCCCCTAAAACCCCCTCCTCCCCCCAAACGAAAACCCCGCCCCCCCGCCCCCCGTCGCCGCCGCCCCGAACGCGAAGCCCCCTTGCTGTTGCCCTGCTCCCAGTTGTTGGCCCGGTTGCGTCTGCGCCGGGGCGCCAAACGTCGCCGGCGCACCGCCGAATATCGACGGCGCCGGCTGATGCTGTTGCGCAGGAGGGGCCCCGAACAGCGACGGCGCCTGCGCCGGCTGCGCGCCGCCGAACAACGTCGAATTCGGGGGCGGGGCGCCGAATAGGGACGGCGCCCGTTGCGCCTGTGCTGGGGCGCCGAACAAGGACGGTGCGGGTGCAGCGGGTGCAGGTGTGCCGCCGAACGAAAAGCCCCCACCGACGGGGGCGACGGGCGTAGCGGGCGCCCCACCGCTGAACGAGAAGCCCACGGGCTGCGGCGGGGAGAAGTGATTTTGGGGTGCGGGTTGGGGCTGGAAGGGCGCTAGGCTGGGTCGGAGGGGGGTTGCTGGGGTGAGGGAGTTTACGGGCGTGACTAGGGCGGGGGTGGAGGAGGATGAGGTGGCGCCGGAGAATATTTGCGCGGAAGTGAGCTCCGCGCCGGTGCGGAGGAAGGAGAGGCGGAGTTCCTGCGACCAAAATAAAGGGCGCGACGGAATAGAGGGAGGGATGGGATGATGAAATGAGGGACGAACGGGGAAGAAATGATGCAATGTAACCGCAACGGAAGCAACGGACGCAGGGATGACGAATAAGGTGAGATGGAATGGGACACAAATAGAACAGCGGACGCAGGAAGGAAGCGGAGGAGCGGAAGAGAGGAGGAGGGAATGATGGAATAACGGACACAAAGAAAAAGGCGGAGGGAATACACGATACAGCGCAACAGAGGCCAGATGAGAATAGAATCGGGAGACGCAACACGCAGAGAGAAAGGCAATGAAGGACGCAATGGACGCAAGATTGAAGGGAAAATGTGAGATGAGGAAGGAAAAGAATGAGGGAAGAGGATGGATGGATGGAATGGGACAAGAGGAAAGAAGAATAAATAACAAATGGAAGAGAGAAAGGAAGCGGTGAGAAGGAAGATTCGAGGAGCGCACAAGAGGAGGGAAAGGGAGAAAGGAGGGCAAGACACAAGTCAGAATCAAATAACAGACGCAATGCACAACAACGCACCTCGACGCTATGGCCGGCAAACTCGGGGCGGCACGTAATGCTCACAAACTGGTCCCCGCTCCCATCGCCCGGTGCGTTCCCGGGCGCCGCGACCGCGGAGGCAGCGACGGGGTTGGACAGGAAGGGGTAGAACGTCGTGCCCGGCGGGGGAACGCGCGCGCCGCGCAGGTAGGCGTAGTAGCGCAGCTCCTACGTGTGTCTCTGTATAAGAAGATAGGCAACAAATAATAGACAGCAACGCACATCATGACTCCAATGCGCATACTCCGGCGCGGCGGCGACGCTCGCGAACGCCTCGCCCTCGGGCGCAGGTACGGGTAAGGCGAGCGACTGGGGCAGCGGCAGGCGTGCGGGGTCGGTGATCGCTGCTGCGGTGCTCGCACTCGTACTTGCGATGGGAGCGCCGAATGGCGACGGTGCGCTCACGGATGCGCTGGGGGGACCGCCGAAGATGCCACTGCCCTGGGCAGCGGGTGACGGCGGGAAGGGCGCGGGGACGAAGAGCGGGGGGAGGCGCTGCGCTGCACGAGCGGCGGGGTCGGCGGGGTATTCCGGGCACGGTGCTGGCGGCCGGCCCGTCGCGCGGTAGGATTCGAGGTAGTTGGCGATGCGCACTTCCTGCAAAACGAGTCAGTGGGCGTATTGGCCAGGGGGAATGGGATTAGACCTCGAAGGATTGGGATTGGGGGCCTGTTACTACGCAGATAGGCAGGCTCATGCACGTCTCGCTGGGTGCCGCGGGCTGCCCGAACACCATCGTGGAGGAGGAGAGAGAAAGGTACAAGTGGTCACAGTCACGGTGTCACACAAAACTGTCACTCGCTTGTAACTTGTTGTTCTTTTGGGAAAATGCTCTGAACGGATACGCAAAAAAGAGCTTCGCCTGGATTCACTTTGAATCAACTTCAAAAAATCATCCCTTCCTCTCCCGCGTCTTCAACAATATTTATCGTTGGCGGTTTGAATTTTGAAAAGAGACTCCGAATTCCGGGGGCCCGGGCTTGCCACTCAGAATCTCCAGGCAGCAGATATCCCTCTACTCTGTCTCTCTACTTCTCACTGGCTCTCTCTAACAACACCTACTACATTCATGCCGATTTTAATATCCAATCTCCCTACCGTCGAACGCTTGACTGACATCACGCAACGCAACGCACCCCCAACTAAAGTCCTCTTATCACAAGATTCAACCTCACAAGAAAGACCTGATAGCACAATGTCGAGTGCGTCTGCTCCATATCGTTCTGCCAGAGTGCTACCATTTAAGCAGGAGACCCCGGTTCAAGTCCGGGTCAGGTCATTGCATCGAGTTGGAGCTTTTTTAGTTAATTCTTCTGGGAAGAAATATTTGACACCATAAGTGCGCCTCCTTCGATTTGTTGCTGTCGTTGTCAAACACTAAGCCTGGGACAGTCCTCCTTTTTCAATCCCTTTGTTGGTTGCTGATCCCAGCCAGTATAGCTTGTGTCTAGAATTTAAACTCCTGCAAGAATGACCTGATAGCACAATGTCGAGTGCGTCTGCTTCATGTCGTGTATATTTGCTTTCAACATTCAAGCAGGAGACCCCGGTTCGATTCCGGGTCAGGTCATGATCGAAAATCTCGAGTTTATTTATTTATTTCTGGGAAGAAAGAGGTTCCGGTGACTCACACCGCTCCCGCAGCTTCGTCTCCATTATCCGTACACTCCCGATTCTTTAGACTCATCGTGATTCCTCTCCCTACTTAGTCATATTTGGCCAGTAAGACTCGTCTCGTACCTCCTTAAACACTCGTAAGTAGCCGTAGTCAGTAACATACTTCCCATTGAACAAGGATTCCCCCGTTCTCTCTTGTTCCCCTTCTCTGAGTCTCCCATTTCGCGTGCTTCACTCGGAAAGGACTCGAAGTCTCGCACTCCCGCAATTTGTTGCTGTCGTTGTCAAACACCAGTATGCCTCGTCTCTAGAACTTAAACTTCTGCAAAGAAGACCTGATAGCACAATGTCGAGTGCATCTGCTTCTTGTGCCTCAAATAGCACATCTCAAACAGGAGACCCCGGTTCGATTCCGGGTCAGGTCATTGATCGTCTCGAACAAGATTTTTTTTTAAATTGTTCTTCTGGGAAGCACCAAGGGCTCAATGCGCCGGACAGGCAGAACTCAGACTGTGTACCTACCCATACATGTCTTATCCAAATACAAATACAAGTCCTCGTGTCTCTGAATCCGAGTCGATTATGTATTATCAATATTTACTTCAACTTCGAGTGCTTGCTCACATTCCAAATTCCAAGCCTGCAAGAAAGACCTGATAGCACAATGTCGAGTGCGTCTGCTCCATATTACAATATGCTGCATGAGATACCATTTGCAGGAGACCCCGGTTCGAGTCCGGGTCAGGTCGTTCTTGGAGTTCGCTTTTCTAATTTTTTTCTCTGGGAAGAACGACGTACGCCTGCTTCAACTTCTTGCTCCTGTTATTGTGAAACGCTAACCCCGGCCCAGTCCTCTTTTTTGCTGTTCTGTTTCGCGTCATGATCCCAGCAAACATCCCACGTATCCCGAGTTCCAAGCCTGCAAGAAAGACCTGGTAGCACAGTGTTGAGTGCGCCTGCTTTTTGTGATTTTTCATAATAGAGTCTTAGGCAGGAGACCCCGGTTCGAGTCCGGGTCAGGTCATTGCCTTTGGAGCTTTTTAGTTAATTCTTCTGGAAAGAAAGGCCTGACACCCCAAATGTGTACTTTCTTGCTGCTGTTATTGTGAAACACTAACCCCGGCCCAGCCCTCCTTTTTGCTGTCCTGTTCTGTTTCGCGTCATGATCCCAGCAAACATCCCACGTATCCCGAATTCGAAGCCTGCAAGAATGACCTGATAGCACAATGTCGAGTGCGTCTGCTCCATATTGTCCTGTGCGAGACGCCATTTAAGCAGGAGACCCCGGTTCGAGCCCGGGTCAGGTCGTCCGTTGACTCTTCGTTTATTTTTACTCGGTGCATAATTCCGAAAGAGCATCCATTGTAGTCCAATTTCAAGGCTTAGCATGCTTCCCAAATCACAAAGCCGAGTTGACTACGTGCCACACCGGTCAGGGTAGGATCATCTCGAGATTCTTTCTTTGCGCTTTTCCGTAGTAGGTAGATAGCGCTAGTGTTGCCGCGACTCGGCTCAGCTCCGAACTCGGCTCAGCTCCAGCTGTGAGAGCCGAGCCAAAATAAGCCAACCGCAGTCAGCCGATCAATGACCGGCTCTGGCAGCTTGGCTTCGGCTTGAGCCGGCTTTATAATGGCTTAGCCGCGGCTCAATTCGGCTCACAACCGCAAATAGAACACGCTCTCTGGAGCCGTTTTCTTCTCTCTCTCTGGTGGCTGGTGTCCCATACACCTCAGCGACTGTCCGTACACTATATCCGAGCCTTCGCAATTCCATTTGACCTCTATAGTCACCATGAACTCCCCATGAATATTTATATATTATTGATGCTCATTATTGCTGAACTCTGGTCTTTCATGTCGACGCGCGAGCGCTGCCTCGATGAATTTTCGGATCAGGCCGCACTGTCAGCCTTGCTAAATGCCCTCCAGATGAAGCTCATAGTAGAAGGTACGGATCCTGCTATCCCGCAACAACTTGAATCTGATTGATCCAATGTTGCTACACACCTTTCAAGAGTTGGGCGAGTTTCTATGTTGCCGGCGAACCTTCACTATATTCCGACATGGCTTGGAGCTTCCATTACATCGTCAGAGTATCGCATGACTCCTGCAAATGTGAATTCTTGTTGGATCGACATTGCTTAAGGCTGACTATAGCTCCAACTAATTTTAATGTTGCATATGTACTTCCTCTGTAAAATTGCTAAGTACTAAACCGCTAGGAAAGCCGCGCACGCCCAAGCAGCTGTCGACTCGCAGCTGATCTGCATGTGCGGCGTTTCCGGTGGTGATGTCACGGCAGACAAGAGTTATGGTGCGATGTAAGTTCATCGCTGTGACTGCAAGAGGAATGTGTCGACAAAATCAGTACAGAACACACACGGAATCCGGGACGTACCTGTGAAAGACAGCGTCCTCCAGAGTCCCTCGGCGGCGATGGCGGGTGCACACGGGCGGATGGTGTACCAATTCAAAAGGCTCAATCATTGGTCACTCCCTTCTCGCGATGTTGCCCCACGTCGCTGAGAAAGGCGTGCACGCAGAAGTCGTTGCGGATTCGCAGCCGTGCAGCCGATGCATGGGCCCGGCATTTTTTGCGATGTCACACCACAAAAGGGTGGTTCGATGCCTCGGATCCATCGTGATATGACGGCGTGCGGAGTGCAAACGAGAAGGAAAGAAATGATCATAAAATACAGACAGAATCGGGGACGTACCTATGAAAAACCGCAGACCATCGCACTGCGCGACTTTGGGCAGCAACAATTAGCCCACCACCTAAAGCCCGAGCCCCGAGCGAGTCGTAACCACCGCACGCACGAGCGGGAGCGGTGCCGATGCCCAGGTGTTGAGTTTCATGCAAGGGGAGGTGCCTGGGCGGACGGACAAAAATGAGGGGCCGAAGACAAAAATGCTAGGTCCTGTCCGGACAAAATTTGAGAGGTTGGCCGAACTGTTTTTTGAAGAAATCCACCTATTTCGGCTTGCTTCGGTGCGCAACCTCGTTCAATCGCTCCAAGTTGACGAAAACAACCCCAAAAACAGTACAAGAAACAAAAATACGCATTTTCTCGGTCCTGGGGGGCAAAAATTATCCTTTTGGGGCGATCCCATCAGCCTCGGCTAGGTCCAGAACGGCCCAGATCCCGTTGAAAAATGTCCGGACAAAAATTACCGGATCCAGGATGTTCGGAACCTAGCCTTCGACGGTACATTCCGGGGTCCTGTGGTTGTAGAGAGACAAATATTCAACATAGCCCTCCGGGCACCCCTGGTACCTCTACAACCAACCGCTACCCGGTCCAAACCCCTACCTGTACCGAGACTGCGACCGAGCCCCCTACCGCACCTCAGACCGGTACCTCTATTTGTAATCCATAGCACGAACCAAACCGCACTGCAGACTACAGCCTCCATATTCGCCCCCGTAATGCACAAGTCAGACACCATAAATCTTGCAAGTGCCCTTTGAACATAGGCATGAGAACACCGGGGAATTGAATCAGAGTAGTTAGAAGAGTAATATAACAAAAGTGTAAGACAGCTGTAATCGAGGAAGTATTAGCAGACTAAGTTTATCAACTATCACACGAGATTCCGCCCACGCCCAATTGCTTCTGCACTCACAACTCCTTCATCGACGCGCCATTCCAAAACCTGCCTCCACGGCGACGTGGGGGACGTCACAAGACAATCCCAAGGTGCCAAATTGGCCAATATCCTGCCTGCTGCAAGCATATCAAGGTGGGGACCCAGAGTAAATGGAAGCCGAAGCAGCTGTACATGATGGAGTTTTGCCTTGGCCACAGCCACAAGAAGGGGCGCGAAATACAGCTCGAGCGCGGTCGCGCTCGACGCAGCCAGCACTCGATTGATATCTGTAATCCTGTGGATTCCCTAAATTGGACAAGAAACTGTCATGTGACCTTTCCTCTCTTCGTTTGATCCAAGAGGTGCTCGATCTCTGGATCACTAAATATGTCCCACGACCCACCCACCCCCGTAAAAGGCAATGATGATCAGTGGCATCAGATGAGATCAATTCTGGTGGCGCGCCATTCAACACGTCTCCTTCGCGCCACTCATGTCTGTCTACGCTCGCCGACGCGACTGGAACTCTTGAGGTATCTCTGACCTCTCACTCTGCAAACAACATGGAATCCTAGCCCTGTATATGCTGCACATACTACATATCCGTCAAATAATGCAAATTCTTCGGCACTATATTATAACACATTTTCGTCAATCGTACCTAGCACCGGGGAGAAAGGAGATGCGAGAGCTGGGACACGCCAAGTCCTCTGCCCCAGATGCTCGGAGTACATAAATCATGGATGCCGACGATCCGACCTCCCATCAGTGATCTCGCTTCACCAGATCATATTGAGTGATCCAGAGATCGAGCACCTCTTGGTTTGATCCACCATGCGCCTGTAAATGAAAGTGCGCCGGCTGCCCGGACTCCCATGGCAGAATCAAATTCCACCGGGCCCCGTTTGGACAGGTGCGTAAGTGTCTTATACTGTGATCTGGGCAATTGTTTCAGACACTAACTTTCCCTCATTCCGATGTCCGCTGCGACCCTCTCTACTGCTCGGCGTATCAGCATTTTGAGCTACCAGGGGCGCTTAGTAAGGAGGGAGCGGAATCCCATTCGCAAAAATGTTTGAATTTGAAAAATAGCAGTATTGGCAATGGTTGAATGAACTACCGGTTGCAAGTGGTGTGCTGATGGTGTTTCTTGTTCCACGTGGCGCAAAATTTGATGGAGCCAGAGGCGGCCCCGCTCAGGCGGGATGGGCAGTGGTGAGGAGCGTGGCACAAAGTTTTGGCTTGAAGGTTAGAGGTAGTTAGAGGGCGAATAACCATGCAGGGGGTAACTGAGAAGCGGGACACGCCAAGAGACAAATGTGTTGCCAACATTATTGTGAAAGAGGGCAGGAGGTGCGGGAGCTGGAGAAGGAGCTGTCGCGGGGTCTCGTACGTGATGTCAAGGATTCAACGCGATTTCGCAGAAGGCATTTAAGAGTTTTTTTTGGAGGGGCGAGGTGTATGTAAGTGGTAACGTGATGTCAAAGATTCACAAACAGAATGTTAGTTCTTTTGTGCTAGAGGAGCAAAAATGTCCCAATCGGCTTATGTCATGAAATTATGGCCTCATGACCTCTGAGTAACCTCCGATCCGGCAACTACCGTTCAGCGAGGAAACCAACAAAACTTATATTTACTTAATTCAACTTCGCACAAACTGGAAGCTCACCGAGATCTCCAAGGTGAGAAACACTGGGCCGGAACCAGAAGCACGTGGGATCAGAATAAGACCGTTGATTCTGGGTAAAGAGCTCGAGCGAGATAAGGTAGGTAGAAGTAGGAAGCAAAGCGTGTGTGTGTATGTAAGCATCATGTGAGTAAAGGTGTGCACGGGTTTACACCCTCCCCGACTGTCAAAAATCCACCCGTCCAAACCACAGCATAATAAGTAGGAAGGCGGATATGTACTAAAAACTGCTCCCAGGGTAACAACCCTGTGGGAAAAAATCCACCGGGGCAGGGACAGATAGAAGGTGAACAGGACAAAGGCGCCAAAAACCATTCCTTCGATCCTTCAATTTGGGCGTGCGAGCCATCGGTCGAGTGCTTCGGCGTGCGCGAGTTCCGCGCCAGGCAGCCATCGGTCGCCTTCAGGGCCATAGCCCGTGAATCGTACGAGGTATTGTCGACCCCTTCCGCGAACGCGCTCGTCGATAATATCTTCGATGTACCATTCTTCATCGCCCTCGTTGTTGATAATGGGTTTGGGCTCGGCGTGTTTGCGCGAGGGAAACAAGTTGTCATTGTTTTCAATGTAAGGTTCTAATTCAGATGCGTGAAAAGTGGGAAAAACACTGGGCTGATTGGGGAGGTCGAGAGTGAATGTAGAGAACTCATTGTGTTTATCGATAATAGTATAGGGCCCGTCGAAACAGGGCATGTATTTTGCGACACGGCCATCGCCCTTCTTCATATACGCGGCGCGTCGATGCGAAGTCGAGAGCTTGATGCGGTCACCTATTTTGAGGTCGTGGTCCGGGTGTCTCGTTTTGTTGGCTTGCTCAGCCTGGGCAAGCTTGGCAGTGAGCAGATTGTCTTTGGCTTCAGCGACGTCGTTCTGTAGTTGTTCAATGATTTCGGTGGCAAGGATATCCTCCGTGGGCATGTCGACATGAGGAGGTACGACCAGGGGAGGAATTATACGAGGTGAGCGCCCCATGCGGAGCTGGAAGCCAGAGAAACTGGTGGACGTGTTAACAGTGTTCATCATGTCAAAAC